TTGGCAGTATTTGCGACCCTCCAAATGAAACTACTGCCCAGTGCAGGCGCCGCTCGCATATTTCTCTCCTGAACCAGATAAAAAATAAATCTCCTGTAATGCGGCTGGAGGGGGAAACTGCAGGGTGGCTGTGGACGGAGCGTCCATGTGGACGCTCCACCCTGCAGCCAATGAGGGGAGGGGACATAGCTAAGTGCTGCCTTCAGGACAGCAGAGCTAAATCCAGCATTTCAGAGCTACATTCAACGTCTCCATCCCCCCTTTGCAGCCCTTTCAGGAGCGTTTCTTCTTTTGCCAGCTGAATCGCACTGGTGCCTTACAGCTAGAGTCCAGTAGCACCTCAGGGACCAAAAAGATTTTCAGGGTAGGAGCTTTCGTGAGTCGATGCTCCCTTTGTCAGATCTTTGGCTCTTGAAAGCTGATACCCTGAAAATCTTGTCATCCCCCCCCCCCGCCTGCCAGATTCTGCCAAATGAAGATGCACTTCATGCCCTCCCTGAAGAAAGGCCTAGTCCACAAACGGGCATGCTCCAATAAAGCTGGGAGCCTTGACGGTGCCCATAACTTTGGCCCCGTTGAACCCTGACTTACTGGCCGCCCGTTGGCTTCAATGATGAGTTTCTCCGCCTTGGCTTTGCTCATTGGGTAGGGCTTGTGGTTAATGACTTCGTATTTGGTGTCTTCGTCTTTCCTGCAACCAAGAGTAACACACACACACACACAGAATCAGAACCTGCTCTGTCAAGGCGCAAGAACAGAATCCGGGTCCTCCTTCTCATCTCTATGGCTACAGCCTGAGTTTAGAAAATAACGCACTGCAATACGTTTTAGCGCTGTTTAGTTAACTCCAGTGTGCGTGAGATGGAAAATACGGAGAGGGCTAGGCATGGGGCTGTCTTACCCAGTGGGCAACAGGGGCAGCTGCCCAGGGCCACACACTTGTGGGGCCCAAACTGCCCATCGCCCCACCCCCCTGAGGGAGGGAAAGAAGAGCAGTTTCTTGCTGTCACCTGCCCCGGCCCCCGTGTGGGGATTGGGCAGTTGGTTTCCAGTCCTGAGGCCCACTCCTTCCTTGCCCCAAGCAGGGTGCCCGTGGTGAGGCGGCAGTTCCTCTGAGGCCGCATCCTAGTCCCAGAGTCACTAAAACTGCCCTGACTCTGTAACAGTGCTCTGGAATACGGGGGAGGGCTCTGGAGTTGTAAATGGATGTGAACATTATTTATTTATTTATTATTTTCAATTTATATCCCGCCTTGCCGGGGAACTGGCTCAAGTAAAAGAGGAACAGTATGATTGGAAAAGCTGTATGTACCCAAGTGTATAAAGGCAACTTCCAGTAAGAGGCACTAGATTCCATTTCCTGACACGCTACTTGCTCTGTTTAAAACAAGCCACGTGTCCCCTAATGCCATAAAACCACTCACCTGCCTACAGAATGCGGCTGTTACCTCTAGCCCAAATGGCTCTATGAAGGGATTAGTTAAACAAGTATAAAGCCAACAGTCGTGATAGTCTGACCCACAATCAAACAGTCATAAGACTTATAAAGAATGCAGTTTATGTATTGCAATCTAAAGCACTATAACATGATACACAACGTCGTCTCCGGATTACGTAACAACGTTTCAAAAAATGAATCTTCTTCAGGAGATATTATAGTGGTGCCAAAGCTCTCAGTTTCATAAATGTTAGACAAGAAGTCTTAAGAATATTAAATTCAGATAGGACGCTGGTCTCAATTAACATTCAGGCTCAAAATATGCTGCTATGTTTCTACTGGATCCCAGTAGCAGCATATTTTGAGCCTGAATGTTAATTGAGACCAGCGTCCTATCTGAATTTAATATTCTTAAGACTTCTTGTCTAACATTTATGAAACTGAGAGCTTTGGCACCTGGTGGACCTCCTGATGGCACTGGTATTTCTGGCCACTGTGTGACACAGAGTGTTGGACTGGATGGGCTTTTGGCCTGATCCAACATTGGCATCTCTTATGTTCTTATGTTCTTATGTTCAGCCATCATGGCCAATGGAACTCTCGCCCATCAGTGTGCAAAGTCCCCTTATAAAGCCGCCTAAAACTTGTGGGCCTCCCCATATTCGGTGGCTCTGAAGTCCAGCAGTGTATTATTTGTCATCTGAAAAAACGGTCCCTCCCCCTCCATCTTGAATTGACTGCCCATTAACTTAACTGGGACCTCCCCTGCCCGAGTTCTTTTATTATGTAAGAGGGAGAAAAGTTCTCCGTCCACATCGTAAAACTTCCTCATGCTCCCCCTTAATCAATTCGTTTTTTAAAAAACAGGAGTCGTTTAGGTGTGTGTGTGTGGGGGGGGAGAATAGCCGGACTGGCCAGTGTGGAAACAGGGCAGTTGGCTCCCCCAAGGCTCCTCTTACATTCTGAAAACCTCAAATCCTAACATTCAATCTCTCATACTGAAGCAGTACCTTTCTCAGGTTACCAAGATTCAGACCAAAGGGAACCCCACCCTACCCTGGGAAACGCACGGCAGAAGAAGAAGAAGAAGAAGAAGAAGAAGAGGAAGAAGAGGAGGAGGAGGAGGAGGAGGAGATTGGATTTATACTTCACTTGGAGTCTCAGAGCGGTTTACAAACTCTTTTCCCTTCCCCTCCCCACAACAGACGCCCTGGGAGGTGGGTGGGGCTGAGAGGACACAAACAGCTCTTTTTCAAGGACAGCTGTGCCAGAGCTTGTGAC